AGTTCCTAACTTTCCAAAATATCTTAAAATTAATGCTTGTAGAAATACCATAAAATCGTTGCAGGTGTTTTTAACCCCTTCTAATCCACACATCTTCGTAGCAATTTTCCAGATTTCCCCTAATGAGCAACTGCACGGAAATGTGTTAATTAACTGGCTCAATGTGGCAGCTGTTGTTGTTTTGATTTGGGCTCACCGAATGGCATTCACAGTGCAACCTCGCTGCAGTGGACGGGGGACAGGTGTCCAAGCACCCCGCGCCTTTCGTAATTCCCCTGCTAGAGAAAACCCCCGTAACCATCAGAAATGTGAGGCGACCCCATAATTTAGCCAATTGTCAGCGTCGAAACTTGGTTAACTTCGGTTGCTGGGCCGCACCCATTAATTATTTTAAAGTAGTTGGCCGACGCTGTGTTGCCTTTTCAGGCAGCAGATTTATCGACTGTGCCACAGAAACTTTAGCATACCTACAACAAACAGCAAACTGCAAACTGCAAACTGCAAACAGCGAGTGGTGACCCCGACTTCCAGGGGGACTTCAAAAAGGTTTTAATAGCAAATGTCGGCAATTTGTCGGCGGCGACAAAGCGAAATGGCTTTTAAATTGAGCTTCACTCATGTTCGGGGGCGTGGCATGCGCCCACATGCACTTATTGATTTCGTTGCAAGGGGCGGTTCTTGATTGGGTCAAAGGTTAATTAGTTAATTGGCTGGTCAGGTGAATCTTGGAAGTAACTTGGCAGGGGAAAGGCAGTAAACTCAGGGGGTGGAGCACTTGGTTTGATGAAGTGGGAGGAATTGGGTGAAAAATGCTTTCAAATCTGATGCTTGAGAGATATGGGGCGTACTTATTGATAGTGATTAATGTGATTTATTAATAGAGATCTTTGTATCTAATGGATGCTTGCAAAAAGATTCTTAAAATAACATGCTAGCACAGAATTAATCCAAACTCAACTAGCTTTATAATTACTGACATGGAAATTTAATTCTGGTAGCTTTTTTCCTAAGAAATGCTTTATTACTTTGCTGAAAGTCTTTCACCAGAAACTCTTTCAACTTGTGAGTCATGCATGAGTAGCAGGCATACTCATCAGAACTCATCATCATTAAGGCTCAACCGATTTCAGATTTTCAGATCTGTGTCCACTTTGCTACGAATCCATAATGACCAAAACTTGCTCAGATTGCCACGCCCTCATATAAAAGGGGTTTGTAAAGAAATCATCAGAGATTCATGGCTAACACACCCCCTGAACTGGATTCCCAAAAACTGGGAGCCTCCCAGAAAGTAGACCGAAAGCATTTAGCATGTACCGGCGCCCATTGTGGTTCCCGAAAAAGTGTCTTGATACAAATCACTTGCCATTTGTCTTGGGCCATTAACTTATAAATATAACTTAGGCAGATTCTATAAACAAAAAGCACGGAAAGAAACGAAACACAAGATGAAAAAGGTTGGCGTGTACTTTGTGGGCGTGGCGGCGGAGTGCGCCAAATGGGCGCTCATTAATTTCCACAAAATGAGAGGACTTTCAAACAATAAAAATGGGAGCAGGGAACGCATCAAATTGAATTTTGTGCCGTTTTTCGTGCCTAATTAATGTTAATTTTTATCAGGTCAGCCACATAAATTCTCCACTCCGACAAAACCACCATTATACGAAATTAACAAATCATTTGTGTGGCTATCTTTCAAAGGTTTTCCACGAACGTAATTTATACTTCCTTTATGTGCAGGAAAACTTTAGCTGCCGTGCAATTTTCACTTTCAGTTAATTGGCAATTTATTAAAGTGTTCAATTAAGAGAGTCAATTAAAAGCGCTTCATTCACGTGTCGCAACGAATTTTTATTACTCTATCTCTTCTTCCGCTTAACCATTTCGTAGCTTTGTTTAATGTTTTAAAACAAATTAGTGTGCTTGAATTATTATTATAAGCAGTGCCTCGGGGCATCCATTGCACATAAATGTGTGTTGAAAAATGTTTGTTGACTTTTCGCAGTCTCGATCATTAAATTGCAATTATGTAATGGCAAACTGGCAGTTTGGGGAGTCATCAGCGTGCTGCTGTGCATTTCCAATTAAAAAAGCATTAAAAACATGGCTCCAGGAGCTGCGATGGAATTGCACTTGGGATCGAAACGGACATCACCCATGCCCACCTGCCACAGGAGATTCGCATTCGCATTCGCATTGGCATTTGTATTCCAATTCCCGATCGGCAGATGGAGATCCTCTGATGCCTGATCGTGCCTAAGTTCCAGTCGATCAGGGTGTTATTTATGGCGGCTAGAAAATTAACTTTTCCTGCTGGCTGACATGGAAACCAATTTGCCAATTGACGCCTCCACCTCCGGCTGGCATCTTGGGCTCTTTGGCTCCGTGGTTTTGGCCCAGTCTTCGGGTTTCTGGCCCTGGCCCAGTCCCAGTCGTAGTCGTAGTCGCAGTCGCAGTCCAAGTTTCAGTCTCGATCCCAGTCTTTCAATTAAATTTATGTTCGAACAGGAGGCGCCAGTCGAGACTGACTGAACAATCGCTGATTTACGACCTGGAAACGAAGGCGAATAGAAAACACTTTGCAATTATTAAACGTACTATTTTTATTGCTGTTCCAGGTATTGCAGTCGCCTTTTCCTATCGACCGCCCACGATGTGCGCCAAATGAGGTTTAAACTGCAATTCCGTTTACATTTGGCAAACTTTTCCCATACAAATTGCCGCTAAATAGCTGAAACCTGACACAACAATAACAACCCGGACGCCTACGCCGTTGCCAGCACGTTCGTATTTTGTTAACCCTTCAGCACCCCATGGGCGAATTATGACCCTTTCACACGAAGTAACAAGGCTCACAACGCTGCATACGTAGATTTCTACAAAACTATTGAAAGCATGTATCGAATTTCTCTCAATTACTAAGCTTTAAGCATTGAGTGTTTTAAACATCTTTCTACAAAGTAGGATATATAATATATGTCCTACTTTTTTACTACTTTCACTGACTCCTCGCCAAGAGATCTCGTATACTCTTTTTATAAAAGATGAAAAAATCCTTCACAGCTTTTATGTTTATGCCTCTTATCTAAAAGTTTCTGTAAATAATTGCGAATGCGAGTTAAAATATTTTAAAGTTGATACATCCCAGCACTTTTACTTGCCGCCTGAAGGGTTAATGCTGCTTCTGTGCTGTTGCAGTTGCAGTTGCTGCTGCTGTTGCTGCTGCTGTTGCTGCACTGCAGCAAGTGTCAGGCCCTTCAATCGCTGTCGCCCCCCCTCCTTTCACCTGTCAAATTTGCAGCGCCTGGGGAACTAATGACGCCCTTAATATGCTCCAAGTGGCCTGGCTGAAAGCCATTTCCCTTTCGCTTTGTTTTCAAAGTCATCGCAATCGTCTTTGTCTTCGTCATCGCGGCTGGCAGACACGCCAAAATCAAACGAAAGGGTTTGCCAACGGAAAAGCCAAGAAGCACAGGGAAAAGTCGATTATCCAATGCACTTGATACAGTCCACGAACTACCTCTGGTTAGTACCTAAAAGTTAAATGTGAGAAATAAGGTGTTGGAGTGTCAGATCTATAGTTCAAAAGTACATCACGACTGCATTTTACTTGCAGTAAAATATTAAAATATTATTAATCAGAAGCAAACAAAATGGTGCATGCACTAGAGCCTGTTAACTGGTACTTAATACTCGTTCGCCATTTGCACTTGCCACGTTAATAGTTGACCAACATGACCGGTAACATGTGGACAAGAATCCTACAAAACTTACAAAGCCGCCATCCAATGAAGGCACATATTTGCCAAAATGTGCAGCTATCGAAGGGGCAAACAAAGTGCAGTGCTTGGTGACCCCGACCCTCCATTGCTCTGGAATTTCCACTCGAGTGCCAAGCAGCTAGACACCTGCAACTCGCCGTAGACAACTTTATTTTGTGGGTCGAGTCGAAAGCTCATAAATTCGCGGCCCACAGAGGAAACGCAGAGCAAACCGACATATTTATTTGCATGGGTGGGCGTGGGCCCGTTCCATCTGCAATTAAGTAATTCTCACATCGTTTATGCAAAATACGAGAATTTTCCAGGCATTCTGGTGGTGGTGGTGGTGGTGGTGCTGGTGGTGGAGGAGCTCGGGTTTTTTCAGCTCTGGTGTTCTGGTGATTGCTCGCGTGCAACCTCAACACCCTTTGCTTGTAGTCAAGTGGCCCATAAATTGTTGGCCAAGTTTTCACGGTGCCCGCCCCCTTTTCGTTGCGCTGCTTTGACAACGGCAATTACCTTGAACTTTTCGCCGGATCGCCTGGAACTAGCCTGGCATATCAAAAAAGCGGGCAATCTATTTATATATTTTTTGAGTTTTTTCTTCGGCTTGCCATTGCCAACGGGCTCATATATTTTGGGCCACTCAGTGATCTCCTGCCGTTTTGTCAGTTTAATTTTGGGTTAGCTCGCTTTTCGCTTTAAATGAGCTTAAATTGGCGGCCCATATGCATATACTCGTACTCGTATGTAACCCCGGAGCTCTTTTTGCACAGTAAATATATTTTATAGGCAATCATTTGCATTTTGAATATCAATTTTTGCCATCAATTTTCGGCCTCTGCTAACTGACATTTATTTTTTGGCCGCCTTATGAGACCGTAACTCGTAATTGTTGATTGCACTTTTTACTGTCAACGTTTGGCACACAACAATTTTCGCCGGGGATTTTCGTGAGGACTCCCAACTGAACTCAACAACTCAATAAAGGAAAAGCCTTGTTAGCGGGCTTTGCTTCTTTTTGGCCCCTTGATTGGTTATATTTTGGCAGCTGATCGATAGTTGTTGTGCATTGGTAATGAGTTTATCATGCAATGGCCCAGAGTTTGCCAGTAAATGGCCAACATATGTGGATGCCATTGAGTTTCTGACGAATTTAGGTACTATATTTCCACTTCTTTATCTTCAAAAACTTTCGTTTATTTGTTGGCTCTGTTATTTATTTTTTAAGTAGTAAACAATTAAAATTAAGCTATACAGTTGACAAATAATTTACATGAAATCAAAGGAACACAAAATAGTGTGATAGTTGATAGCCAACTATTAGTTACTGATTTTCCCGCTCCCTTTCCCGCTCCCGGGACTTTTCCCGCTCCCGCTCCCTTTCCCTCTCCCTTTCCCGCAGATAGAGCTGCTGCTGCTGCATGAAGTGCTGCTGCTGCTGCTGGTGCTGCTGCTGCAGATGCTGCTGGTGCTGCTGCAGCAACTGGTGCTGCTGCTGCGGACTGAGGGTGGCCGCCTCAGCCGGATTCTGCTGCAGGAACTGCTGCTGGTGCTGGGCCAACTGCTGCTGGAACTGCTCCCGCAGCCGCTGATGCTCCTCCGCATCCATTTCGCTGCCGTAGTCGTCCATGTCGATCACCTCGTCCTCGTCGTCCTCCTCGATCTCGTCCTCGTCCTCCGGATCCTCTGCATCCTCGTAGCTGTGCTGCGACCCATCGTGCTTGGCGTCGTCCTCCCCATCGCCACCGCCTCCGCCGCCGGAGGAGCTGCCCTTGTTGCTCTTGGTGTCGCTGCCATCGCCGCCCTCCTGCTGCATCCGCTTGTGCTTGGTGCGTCGGTTCTGGAACCACACTTTAACCTAGTGGGCACACAAAAGGAAGCGGTATCTTTTTTAGTTTTATATTAAGGTGTATTTTAGTGCAACAGCCTAACTGTTACTTCATGTGCACAAATTTCATTTTACTGCTATGCTATTTAATAGTTCAATTAACATTTAAAGCAACCATTTTAGTGACCAGCACATCGAGCTTCTCTCCATTCTAGCCCCTGTCTAGTATAAATATTTTCCTAAGCGCACTCAGGAAGGCTCAGGAAGCAATTGAGCCCGGGGTAGCCTTTTTGGGGGAGGTTCTTTAACCCTTCCATTTGGCTCTTGGCCTTCGTTCTCTCTTTTTTTGGCAAGCCGTAAATAAGTTTAACGAGTCCTTTAATTCTATTTACGGCCTGCCTCCCAGCTATGCCCCGAGGGTGCACAGTCAAGTGCTCCTTGCCCCTGCGCAGCTCTTAGCCTCTGGAAGGCCCTCTGGAAGCGCTAATAACTCAGTAACTCCGGCACTGCTTGGGCTAACGACCAGACGACATGCAATCACTTAGCCGCTAACCGAAGGGGTTGAACTGGGGTGCTTATTGAATTTGATACGCATTAAGGGCGGCCGCCACCCGCAACCCGGCGTGGCCCATCTCACCTGGGTTTCGGTCAGGCTGAGTCCCTGGGCCAACTGCTTCCGCTCCGCCCCCACCACGTAGTGGTTCCCCTCGAAGGCGTGCTCCAGCTTGAGCAGCTGCGTCGGCGAGAAGGCGGTGCGCACCCGCTTCGGTTTGCGGAACGGCTGGAACAGGAAATCTGCAAGAGATCGGGAGTTTTAATGGGCGCTGCTATAGTTTTCTACTATGAGTTGATTAGAAATGTGTTACTTTCGGCATAAGCTTAGCTAATATTTTTCAGTATCACTTGAAATACTCTTTAATATTTACTATTTCCATATAATTATTATAAAGCATAAAGTTCACAGAACAGAGTTGCATTTACCAATTATTATATAAAGCTCTGTAGCAACGTAACTTTACCTCACATAATTATCGTGAAGTTAGGCATGAGTTTTTGTTATTAGTAGCTATTAAGATGCACATGAATATTTGCAGTTTCTTATTTAAACATTTATGTGTGTAATTAAATTTTAACGACACTTTGACAGTAAAAGTCTAATGTATTAAGCTAATGTTTGGGAGCCGCTTAAAATGTTTATTGAAGTGTAATGCTTACATAATACTTGATTAGAGAAAGTGAAAATAATACGTGAATCTACTAATTTAACAGACTTTTAAAGGGATTATTATTAATGAACCTTAAGTACTTAAGACTATATTTATTTTAAATAACATTGCATTTATGTGCCCCATCTGAGAGGCCGAGGAGCGCATCCTTCGCTGGCGGCTCTGCCAATTAGATGACGTTGTGCCTCAAATTGTTGATTATGAATTCCGCGAATGCCGCGGGCAAAGATGCCGCACACAGTGGCCACTCACATGTTGCACACGCTCATTACAAAACAATAAACAAATTTCCAGACATGGCCCGCCAAACACAACGAAAACACAAAAGGCTTCTGGTTCGTGCCGCTTTCGGCGCTGTGTTTTTTTTTTTACCAGCCATGTCCCAGAATCGCTGATAAGGCCAAAACAATTGGCCCTGGCCAAGAGGAGCTGGCTTTCTTCGGCCTGGACGCCAAGCCGAACACTTTAGCGCTCCTAAAAGCCGCCAACGACGCCTCTTTGGAGAACCGAGGACCCATTGTTCTTCCTTCAGCCGGCACAACGTGATATTTTGACGTTTATCACGATTTCTGGAAGACCAGATCCCCTACCCATCCCAGTCCCAATCCCCACCTTGAAACCATGTCCAGCTTGGCTTTTGCGCCTGCGAGTTAACAAATTTTCAATTGAGCCACAATTTGAATATTGATATGAGGCAGCAGGCTACTGTGCGAGATTCAACTGAGATTTCTGGTGGGGCACAGGAATGTGCTGGGCAAAGGTAATGGATAAAGTTGGAGTAAGCGAGTTGCAGCTCTATGTATTTTAAAAATCATATTTTTGAGAAGTGTATTTTATTTATTGTTATGGCTTTGGAAGCAATTTTTAGAAAAGAAATCCAGACAGTTTTACTTAGAAAGTACATTAATTTACTGCTCTATACATCATACATTCGTGTTTTGTGTATATGTTGATATATCCTGATGATAAACATAACAAAAAGAGCAAAGCCAAATCCGTTGGTTAACCAATTTGTTGATCGTTCTGACTGCCCGCAAAACTGTCATCTTAAGATTCTAGGTCTTTCAAAGTTGCTAGGTTGATCTCCCTAGCCAAACATTCAACCCAAACCAGCCGTGTTGTGATATAATTTAGCGAACAAGCCTAAGCTGAAGGATCTTTTGGCTGCCGCAAGGTGTGGCAATTACAAAATCAATATTGGCATAGCCAAATCGAACCGATTTCGGAGGCAGGAAGTCCGTTCATAAAATGCAACCCAACAGGAGCTAAGCCATTGGAAAAATAAACAGTTAATAGAGAAAGGATACAAGGAGAATGGGCGCGTAGCCATTAGATACAAGATACAACCCCAGAAATGTATCTTGTGACTCGTGCATTGTGCCTTGTTAGCACTGGCGGGCTGGAAAAATAATAATAACAATGAAAAGGGCAGAGGGAATGCTATGGACTGAGAATGGGAAGGGGAAGGGGAAGGGGAATGGGAACTTGTCAATTCGACACTTCATAAATGCAGCCTCGCACCATTGATGGCCATGTATCCACGTATCTGACAGATGCAACTGACTCGGCGGACTGACTGCGTGCCTGGTTTTTGCCATGAACTTGACAAACGATTGCGAGGAGGTAGCATCCAGAGTGATCTAGTTCGGCTTCTTCTTTTTGTATAGCCCACGATCGCTTGACATTTGTTACATTTGACAGCTAACAATGTAGCTGCGAGATACAAGATACACGACTGTATCTTAGAAGAGCCTGTATAATTGATAATGCCGCCGCTCACAATGCCCACTTAATTATTTTTTCTAGCTCTGCAGCAGCTCTCAATGAAGTGCGTGTGTAGTTTTCCCACTTTTTTCTTTTTTCTGCAGCTTTGTGGACACAAAGGAAACCGCCGTGCGAAAATACGCGCAATTGACAATTAATTGATGTGTCCGCTCTGCTGGCCAAGTTGTTGTTTTTTTTGTTTTTGTTTTTGTTTTGTTTTTTTTTGCAGTGGCTCACACCCTTGTCAGCTGTCATTTTTTTGTATGTGTATAGAGATTCGAGAGTACCTTATTTTTTAGCCCATGGTGGAAGTGCCGGATCGTTTCGTTTCGATTTCGTTTGTTCGACTGTCCTGGCCTTTTTGTGCGCCCTATTATTTATCACTTATGTGCAATTGTGTTTGCTTTCTTCTTTACGAGTTAGGGCTTAATTTTTATGCTCTCATGATTTTTTCATTAATTTATTGCATTCCTCGGATGTCCCGCGTCCGAGGACATTGACTCGGAATCGATAATTGAAATCAAATGAAGTGACAGACGGGGATGATGTGTTGTGATGATCGATTTGACGCGAATGGCCATTTGCAGTCGTGATGTATGAATGGAATTTTGTGGGTTTTGTTGGGATAATGGCATTGAACAGGGTAATCTATGTACTACTACTTAAATATCTGATCCATAGGTTTTAGTCGTGGAGTATAAATACATACATACTTTGGAGACTCGTAAAAAAATGTATAGCTAGTGATTATTCATACGAATGAATATAGACGATACGAATACAGCTTGTAATTAGCTAGTAATTCATACGATTCCTACCAAATCGAACAATAAAACTAAATAATACAACTTAGATATTGTTATACGTTCATTACATTTATAACGATACATATTAATCAGCTATAATAATTGTTAGCTTCTAATTCCTATGCCTTACGAACGAGAATTTCGAAGCAGCTTGTCCAATTACAGCGCTCTCGATTCAAGCCTTCCATAATAAGGGTCTGAACCTTGTTAATTCAACCCGTTTTCCCAGAACTTCAACGGTTGCATTAGAGGGCAACACCCAGAAATTGCAGCACGTGCAAGCTGAATTGAGTTACTGACGTATCATCACCGTCGCTATCGCGATGATCCCCATTATCTCCCTCCAGATCAAAAAATAAATAAAATGGAAGAAAAACAAAGCCATGCAACCTGGTATTACTCACACGAGTTACAAAACAAGCGGAGATGAAAAACATTTACAATTAATGAAATCGTTATGCGAAACATTGACATTTCACGTTCATAAATCAAGCGAAAATTACAGGCGGCGCGGAGAAAAGTGAGGAAAAAGAGAGGGAGCGGCGGGAAATGGGAAAATGGTAAAAATGGTTAAAAGGTAAAAAGGTAAAAAGGTAAAAGGGAGTAAATGATGAAACGGAGTACAACATAATTAAGGCGTAACGGGGATACATGTACACTTAAGCAGGTGAAAGGCGTGTGAGTGTGCCGAAAATTATTATTATATTTAACCAGCCAAAAAAAAACATGGACACCAACATGGCCTGGAAATTCAAATGGTAATTATGAGAGCAGCGAATGGTAAGGAAGAAGTGGTTAAACCGTAATAAATGACAATGTTTTTGAGATGCGCTTTGCTCTTCTTCTATCTGCCAGTTTTTTAACTTCGTCGACTCTTTGCTTGGCTGCCCCAAAACCTCAATTAAAAACACATTAACATTTCACTGGTTGCACTTTTCGTACGTTACACATACGCCGCATGGGCCCGCCACATGAGCAACTGGCGCCGTCTGTTGGCCATTAATGGTAATTTCGGGGAAAGAGAAAGAGTATGAATAAAGTAAATAAACGCTAAACACACACTCACACACTTGGCTGGCCATTTAGGTACGCTGCTTGACCTAACGATGTGTGTAATGTTGTTTAAACAATTTAATTAAAATGTAATTTGTTTGGAAATAGTTATCAAAATGGGTTCGGTTCACTCCACATTCTCCTGCCCGCTCGCTCCCATCCAAGTTCGCTCCATCCCGCTTCCTCTGATGATGATGAGCCCGATACACGTCTAATTAACTTGTAATAAATGTTTGCCATTTGCTTATTTAACTTTAATTATATGGAGCTGCGCGGCAACAACAGCGATAACTGAATAATTGCTTGATTGGGGTCCTCTCTATTATAATGGTGCTGTGCTTCGAATATGACTTTAGGTGTGGTTTCTTTTCTCTTCGGCTCGCAACACTCAACGGCCATTTGAAACGGCTATAATGAGTGTGGAAAACTCGTTTAAGCGCAAAATATTCCACAAAAGGGGCGGTTTCTGTCTGCAGAAGAAGAAGCCTAACTTTCAACTATCATAATATATTGTTCTAATTAAATATATTAGTATTATATTATATATGAGTGCGATGTATAGTACAAATAAATTAAGCGAATTTGTACATCTATTTAATATTCCATACGTTAGATACTTACTATCAGAATCGCGTAAAAATTCAATTAATTTTAAACTGCGATAACCGTAAACCTACTACTTGATAATACTGTTACCAATAATTGTTATTATTGCTATTAATTTTATAAATTATTGTAAGCGTTTTAAAATATGAAAGAACTGCTTGCCAAACCGGTTATTTTCACTGAACCGGTTGGGTTATTGAAAATACATAGAAAATACATATACATTTAAAATATTATGATTACCAGATGTAAAACAGTGTGATTACTTACTGCCTGGGAATCGAGGAAAAATACGTCCGTGACGGCTGAGCAGCCATGGATACAGCGGATAGCTATCCCGGATCAGATGCGGCGCACTCCCGAACGGATGGTGTCCGTGGGGCGGAGGATGTCCCGGGTGCGGTCCGCCGGGGAAGATTCCAATTGGAATTTGGCCGGGCGGCAGATGCGGATGCGGACCATGTGGCGGTCCAGTTGGCACGGGCGGAAGTTGCTGTTGCTGTTGTTGCTGCTGCTGCTGGTGATGGTGAGCCAGTGCAGCAGCCATTTGGAACTGGGCGGCAAGGAACGGCGGTGGCTGGGGCGGCGGATGGGGCGGACCCGCCATGCGCACCGCCATGGCGTTCGGTGAGGTGCGGTTCCCGATTAAAGCTAGATTTGGCGCCGGCAGCGGCAACGGACGGATGAGGGTTGGAGGATTACCCGCTGCCGACGCTGGATCCCCGGACTTTGGAGTATTCCTCGCCGCTGGCGGATTGCCTCCTGCACTCGGAGGCGATGGCGACCGGCTGACCGGTGATCTCTGCGGACTGCGCGATCTGTCCAGGGAATCCCTCCTGCGGCAGTAGATGTATCCCCTGGGCGTCCGGCGCCCACTGTTGTTCGTGTTCGTCGGCGAAGCGGGACTTTCGCTGCGCGGCGGCGGCGAGGATATCACACTGACCCTCAGAGGAACCGATCTCGTCGAGGATTCGCCCACAATCGAGTCGATGCTGAAGGCCAGCTTGGGCTTGCTGCCCGCGGAGGCGGAAACGGTGCTGCTGGCGGAAACGGAAGTGGAGGGTGCGGCCGCCGAGGAGCTGCTGCTCACAAAAGGACTCGTCGGCGCCATGGGCAGCATGTTGAACGTTTGCCGGCCGCAGGTGACCATTTGGTTGGGGTTTCGTTGATTGGAAAAACAAATGAAACACTTTTCCTCCTCTCAAGCTTCCCGTTTCAGAGTCTCTGCAAGTCGAAGTAGATTTTATGAACACTTTGTTTCCTTGTTTTCCATTTTAGATTGGACTCCCTATTGGCCGTATCTCTACTGTCGCTAATTATTACATGTTGCTGCACAAATTGTCATATTTGTTGGCGGGATAAATCAAAGTTTTTGATCAAATAACTATTACTCCAAATGAATATTAAAATGGATGTAACTCATACAAGAAGGGTAGGGTTAATATAGAACGGTGACAATCCTGCTAAAATCGAAGGGAATGGAAATTGAAATGTTAAAAAAAAATGTTTTTCGTCTAGAAGTGTTTCTCCGCCATTTTCCTACTGCAGTTTTCGAACAAACTGACCAGAAACGGAAGCGGAAAATGCGGGTGTACTGATCGAAGCTCCCAATAAATGGGTTGGGGCTATGGAAACAAGATCGCGTTCATCGGTTACTGGTTACTAGATATTTGATAAGCACACACGCACTGTTTTTCCGATCAGATAGCTATGGCCATATAGCTACGTAGCGTTGTATCTGCGATGCTCCAGCGGTTGGCATCCGTCGGCGTGACATTGATAAACTGTAACTGTAACTGGAGCGGCGGCAACGCGGCGATTGGAGCGTGACCGTACCGCTTCGCTGGACGATTGACGGCGGCGATTGACGATTGCCGATTGACGATTCACTATTGGCGATTGACGGTGGCGGTGGCGTTGTCGGTATGGTCAGCGGTTAACTGTTAACGGTTAACGGTTATGCCGGCTACCCGGTAACGAAACGATTGCGGTGGCCGCGCTGCGATGATGATGAGCACTGTCAACGCCATTAGCATTATGGAGCGTCTAAAGGCGTCTAATTGTAGGCTCCACTTCTCCGCTCGCACCCTCTCTCTCTCTCTCTCTCTCTCTCGCTCTCGCTCTCTCTGGCCCTCTCTTTCTTTTCTGATTTTCGGCGGGGGCGTCGGCGAATCGCTGCGTGGCTCTCACGCTGAGCGTTTTAGCTCGAGTGTCGCGTTGGAAAAAGCCGCAAAAAGTTTGTGGGGCCAGGTCGAGTGCTTCTTCTTCCTTTGCGTGTGCTTCCAGTGCAGCATTACAGCTGGCGTCTCCCTCGCACACGTGGCTCAGTGCGCCTGCGCCAAAGCAGCGTAGCAATAGTTGAGGGGATATTCCGAAAACCTGCTTGGCTCCAAGTGGAGCCACCTCCTCTCTCGCTCGCTCTCCCGCTCTCTGAGCTTATAGGTGTGTGGGTGTGTGAGGCTCCAATCTTTCTCTTTTTCTCTCTCTCTGTCGCTCTCTTGGCCATTTTTCGCACCAGTTTATGACAGCGAAACAAACAATTTGCGCTAAACAAAACAGCATCATTAAAGCGTTTGTGGTTTTAGTGCCAAGCGGGTTGCCAGTTTGATGGGCCGGAGGAGGGGAACGGGGGGTGGTGCACCCGAACAGTGGGTAAAAAGTAGGTCCTCGATGATTAAAAATAAATACTATGACTTACTTACTTACTTATGACTTATGAAATACTATAACAATTAAAACTTTAAACACAACCTCTGTCTTCTTTAACTTATGCAACTATGAATAGTTAATGAAATTTAGCAGATTCTTCGCTTTTTGAGGTATGACCTTCCATCAGCAACCATTTTTAAATTGATTTTAAATATTTAATTATTTATCTGTTTAATCTATCTATTTAAAAATGGATATAAGAAATTTGTACTTTTTACATAAATCTTAAGTAGTCAAATAACTGACCGGTTCCACTGTGTAGCTGGATCAACGTCATCGCTTATATAGCTTAGACGCCCCGTCGTCAGTGCTGGCTATAAACCCCCTGCCCCTCCCCCATGGCTTTTCCACCATTCTGAATTGGCATCTGCATCATGCTGGCCAAAAGCATTTGGACACGAAAAGGGGCGGTAACTTGGTTTCTACACCTTCGGCGAGCTGCAACTGCGCGAATCTCACAGATACAGATACAGCGGACTGGTAAGGGAATGTATCTGTATCTGTATCTGTGCGTGGTCATCCGAGTATCTGTATAGCCATCCCCATCCCCATCTCCATTCCCAGCCCCATCCCTATCCGCATCCTCATCCTCATCCGCTGGCCGTGAGTTGTGAAAATAAACACCTCGTTAAAGATGCAGGAGGAGGCATAAAACATGCAGCGCCAACTTCGCTGCCTTCTCATAGGTAAATACATGCGATTCTCCTCCTTTTGGCCATGAATGGATATGGATGTGGATGTTGGCCAGAAAGGAGGCGAGAGTTGGCAAATAAATTGACGTGCGCTTGGCTGGATTTGTATGCATCTAGATAAGGCCGTTGCTTGTCGATGGGGCAGCATTTTTGCTGCCGCAGATGCACCCGAGTATCTACACATATACATACGTATGTACATATATATCTGTATATATGGATATGTATCTGAGAGTGTGGCACCTCTGGGTGCGGTAATTGTAATTGGTTTTACTCTTTCCCATCTCTTTTCCAGCTCCTCTGCCTCACGTTTCTGGATAAATCATTTAATTAGTCAGACAATGAGCTGGGACGAGAACTTTATGGGATGCTCCATCACCGCAAAAGGTTATCGATCGGCAATCAATGATTTTGGGGGCGTATTTTTTGGCATTTACCGCACTTGATATATGACCAGAAGGAGGGCCCCAAAAAGATAAAATGCTGCAAATGCCTGCTTTATCAGATTACAAAACGCGATGCAAGTTTTGGGGGCTTTTCTCGTAGATGCAAAATGATAGGTATGCTGTTTAGTTCTTGGTTAAATTTTGCAAAATATTGATTTATTTTTTGGATATTAAGATACAATTATATATGTTTTAGACAGATTTTCATAAAATATTAATTTTTTCTTAGCCGAATTGTAGGGAAAACACCATCGAGTTTGAAATTACTTATGCCCGTTTATGTTTAATTCAACATATTATAAACTCAATTATCCTTAGTCAAACGAAATAACAAATGTTATGAGTGAATTGGAAATATACCTATATAAGAAACAAACAGAAAAAGCAGAGCACCTAATTTGCTTTACAATTGAGTTTCGGTTTATCTTCTAATGACTGCCCAGTAACAATTATAATGTTCTTCAAATAAGGTTTACTTAGCATTTAAGCAAACTAATTAAAGTCGCCTAAGATTAGGTTCTTCCAGTGGAAGCACCCTCTTCCATAGCCCGCTCAACACTGGTGTTTTTCTGTCCCAGTCCCTCTGCATATGAAAATGCAATCCACAAGATGTTTCCATGTTCCACAGCCACTGAGCGAGATAAACCGACAGCTGGCGTTCATTGGCCGAGAGCAGTATCTGTGTGCGAAAGAGCGGGATAACTGTAGGTGACAGCTGCTAACAAGGGGTTGGACGCACTGTTCGATTGGAGCGAGCGGGACAGTAAATGCAGGGGAGTTGGTTGATTTGGGAGGGGGGCGCAGCGTATAAATCCACTTCATTTAATAATTGCCAACGAGATGGAGCTCATTATCACGAGTACTTTGCACGGCTTTGCCAGTTTCCAGCGCGGGGCGATTTTCACAAGGAATGGGGTTTTCAACAAGGGGGTTCTTTGTGGGCAGGCTGTACTGTATACGGTCTCCTTCGCACCAATGAACATTTGGCATCCTCTTAGTTTTTAAAACGTACTGCATGGATAGGGTGTACAAATATTCGAACTTTACGCGTCTGGATGTCCAGGATATCCAGAAGTATTCAATAATTTCTAAAATGCTACAGTACGGGTAAATCATGTTACCTCTTTGGACTTAATTGCAAGTAACATTCAAGTGTGAGCATTATTTATTCTAACTTAACAATTTTGCTTGCTGGCTAGGCATGTTTTCGTCAGGTTTTCCTATTCCCTTTTCGCCTCGCTATTATTGGTTGCAAATTAATTGTGCCTCGATAACCCTCCTCCGTTTGTCTATCTGCCGGATATACAGAGGCAGTGCTCAGGCATACTCGTACATGCAGAGTATCTGAGTATCTGTGAGCGCCCTCGTCTCGTTAGCGTTTTTATTGGACCCGCAAATGGAAGCCCACGGTGCTGATGATTCCGATGTTGGGAAATCTGATGCGCGATGATGGCGACGGCTTTTCAGTGTCAATTAAAACAGTTTCTCTCGACGATCGGGAAGGGAATGGGGGGCTTAAGTGACAGCTGGGGGCTGGCGACGGAGATGGATGTTTAGCGAATGGATAATGGCCACCAGGGTTGGCCAGCCAGGAATTTCCTACACCACTACTAGCAGCGGACAGCGCTTCGTGTTGACACAGCTAATTGGCTTTATTTGTTTTAATAATTGAGCATTTTCGGCTGCGGCCATGGGCACTGATTTAATTAAAAATTTCCACGGCCAAGCGAAAGGGTTCCTTCGCTCAATCGTGACACTTCGTGTTTGTCTGGCTGAAAAGGAAGCTTACATTGGGTTTTAATAACGCGGATTAAGGGTGTGATATTTATCTTCGAATCCAAATTTAAAATCTTTAATATTATATATACTCGTATATAACGTAAATAAATAAAAAATAGTTCTTTTTGTGCCCCCAGATTTCATTTGCACATTATTTATAAGTGAAATACAGTTAAAATAGTGAGATATTTCCGTTTTGGCTAAGCGCTAGACTTAATCAAATGCCAATAAATATTTTGCAACTATTTGGAATGCTTACTCGCAGATCAGGGGATCGTGGATCAGCAGCGATCGGAAGATCCTGGGCAGAAGATCACGCAAATCCCCGAACTTAAACCAAGGGAAAGCCTGTGGAAATCCGCGGGATCTGGCCATGGAAATGGCCGGGCATCTTGCCCGAGGATCGGCGCATTTAATCCAATTATCGATGGCCAGAAAGTGCCTCCGAAAGCGGCAGACTCGTCTAAATTGTGGGCGGGTGGCGTGGCTTAGTCCAGGTAATTCCCGTTCCCAGAAAGTGCGAGGGGGATGGCCACTTGGGGTGCGACAAGGAGGGAGAGAGTACGCCGGAGCGGTCCGTTGATTAATTAAAATTTTGATCAGCTCGCAAACGAGGGCCATTATTTAATGAGTTTTTTATGAGATGCCAGGTGTGGCATGTTGCTCATTTGGCTGGCTACATGGCAAAAAACAGGCTGTGATGTAAATGCCATCTAAGTATTTATTTTTAAAAATCATTAAAATTAATTAAATCGACCATCAAATGTATCAAATGTTGTTAATGGATAAATAGAAAATAAACAAATATTCCTGATAAATAGAAAATAAATATATATTTCTTCCTAATTTACACACTTATCAATATTTTCGATGTCAAGGCAATGAAGTAACTAAAACGAATTATAGTTTGAATAATTTACTTTATTGAATTTAAGTACAGATTCCGAAATCACTACACTATTTTGCCGCTGTGTAGCCAAGTGGGTGTGGCTATATATGGAATGGTGGGGATGCCGATCGAGGCGCGACAACTGCCGCAAATTATCGCAAATTTGTGAGGTTCGTGGGATGCAAGCGAAATATTTTATTGCCTCATTATGCAAATGCGAATGGCTCTCGCCGCCGAGGAGGCGATCGGCGGGGGGTGGGGAACAGCGGAAGGCCGATCAGCGGGATATATGTGCACTAATGGGCCAGGTAGATCGGCACTCAATTAGATACGCTGGCCGCCGGAAAACCGCATTGAAATTACGCCAGGACCTGCCCGAGTTCGATAATTGCGGTAATGCCGATAATCTGTTTTTGACCGCTCGACCTTCGACCCTTCACCCTTTCCGCCCCCTAATACCCGCGAGCCAGCCCCTAATTGTTGGCCAGGCCGAAGGGATTCGTCCTGTTCCTGTCGCGCGCTCTAAGCAGCATCGATAATTGGATTAAATCGCTCCTCTGGCCTGGAAGATTTCGCGCTAGTCCAGCGCTGATCTTTGGATTTCCAACGTGGCTTTGAGGCGCACAAATTCCGAGTTAAGTTTGCGGATTTGCCGGCCTAAACACGCGCTGATCATCTGTGTTGCATTGTCGTCTTGGTTCG